GGACCGCCAAAGTCTTTGGCCAACGAAGCGAATGAAGTGAACACCACTTCATTCGCCGGAAGCCTGCAAAGATACCTTCTAGCTGCTTGGGTCATACATCAAGTAGATGTTTACACAACTGTTCCATGTCCACCTGTTCACTCCCCATGGTCCATCCCTCCCATTGTCCTCCTGAATCCTCCTGGTCCTCTGCCCGGTGACACCCAGTCCGTCCCGGATCGGCCCCTGCTTCTCATGCCGTTCTGCGTCCTCTGGCGAGTCTGAGTCTATCTATCCTGGGCCTATTCGATCCGTTCATCGTGGATGATGGTTTAGGTTGCAGGCCGACAGTTCAAAAAGAGTTATTAATTGTTTACTGACTGTTACAGGTAATAGGACAAACCCTAAGTATATTCTATACATACCAACTATCGCATTAAGTGATATAAAACAATCTTGTAAGACAACAACGTATCAGGCATTTGGGATTTTGACAAGGCCAGCCAAGCGGAGAAATACATGTGCAAACATGCTGCTGTAGAACCTGCCAATGTGGAATCCCGGTCCATCCAATAAATCACGCAATGTCATCATCACTCATAACTCTATATCTATCTATATAATATATATATATAACTATGCCCACCCACCCTACCCACCCCTCATTAACATGATTTTTTTTATGATATGCATGTGCATGATATATCAGGATATGTCAAAGATATGTCCTACTCCCATCCCATAGGGTCTCGCCCTGCGTCTCAACAAAGCTACCGCGTAACCTGCGCCGCATTTGCGCATCGCACCGAGGGGCTGAGGTAAAACCAATGGCAAGGCCCAAGCCGTCCTGGGCGTGGCATCCGGTGGCAGGCGAACATAGAGCTCCGGGGTGGTGTGTCGTCCCATCCAGGGGCCGTGGATGTGACAGGCCGCGCCCGATCGCGTGACGACTGGAACTTCCGCCGAAATAAGACATGTCTTTGATCAATGTCTCTATCATCTAGCACGGGACCCCCACCCAACCACCGGCACCAAAGCCGGCCAAAAAGTGTGTAGAATAATGAGGTAGATGAACCTCTCGATGGTTTGGTTGGTGGCTTTATCTGCCTTGAACCACCCTGTTGTTAGAGTCACACGGTGAACTAAGGGCAGCAAAAGACAGCGTTTCTGTAAACAAATTGCAAAATAATTGTAGCAAAATGTAGGAAATACTAAGGGTACTGACTATAAGTGTAGGATCATATTCATTATAGTTGCTAAAGGATACCCTGACATTCCACGAAGTAAGCTGGTACTCTCATGCGAACCAATGAGCTTTGATGTGAGCTTTGGTGGTTGAGAAAACACACCTGTCTCCCACCTGAAAAAGAATTGGACGATTGCTATCACGAAATGCCTCTAACTAAGGGAGCTCTTCATGACCTGGTCACCTTCCTCCTTCTCGTCGCGGTGCCACCAGCAACAAGGCCCGCCCCTCCGAGCAAAAAAAGAATATCCGAGGTTGGAGACCTGTGGGAAGTGCGCAGAGATCTGTTTCTTGGAGTTTGTCACCGAGTGTCCGCATGCATGGCAGGGTGGCCGGCAAAACAACCAGACTCGGCAAATCTCGCAAGATGGTCGCTTTTCAGATCTATCCCGTCTATTCAGAATTCTACACAAAAAAGAACTCTTACGGACTCTTACGTCTTACTCAGTCGCACAAGTCGCACAGGTCGCACGCCGCCGAACTCGACCGCCTCCTTCGGCCACTCCGCCCCAACCCGCCCATGAACCAACCCGCCTCGAAGGCGCACTCCTCGGCCGGGTTCATCTCCAGCGAGGTGACTTCAATCGCAGGCCCCGGCGGGTCGTCCGGTGGAGGCGGGGGAGGCGCCTGCCAGGCGGTGCCAGGTGGTGGAAGCGGTGAGGCGGTGCAGTCAGAGTTTCGGGCGTTGTTGGAAGCCGATTGCTCCTTTCAAGACGAAGCTCCAATGACTGCCAAGTGCTCCAAAAATGCACACATTCAATGACCTCATGGAATCTGTGAGATGTGTTTGTAGGTCGACTCGGTCTATGGCAACACCTCATCCCTTCCAACAATGCAGCTTCTGACAAGCTGGTGTTACATCCTGGACAAGAGGTCCTGCAGCACCCAGAGAAAGTGCTAGGATCCACAGGACCAGTATGCTTCCCTATTTATTGATCACCAGGTTTCCGGATTGATCTTGAATGTGAGATAAGGAGAAGCCTCCTTTATTGTATGCTGTATATATTACATTGAAATTTGCAGGGATATGGTATGGCACAATCCTCGACTAATTCGCAAAAGCCGGTTCTTCCAATCTCGACCTGATTAGGTGTCCATGTCCTACCTGACCTATGGAAGTACCTGGAACAATACCAGAAGTTTAAGGGTCAGCTGAGATGGGCCATGGTACTCATTGTACACCGATTGAAGGGCCACAAAGTGTTAGTTTCGTGAGCGTCCAGGGTTTGAAGGCTGTCCAAAGAAATCATGAGGAACCATTTCTCAAGAGATATGATCTTGTTTCTGTCTTTCATTTCACTGGCACCCTGTCCATATATTGGACGATCAGTGATCACAAATTGGTTCTGCAGCCATTATATCCCTTGAAACCTCACATATAACGGAGGTCACCAGCCTTGGAGCAGGTGAAACCAATCTTCAAGATACACATCTCACATCTTGTTTAACGAGAGTAGGCGAAACGGCGCGGTAGGTATCGGACAGTCGCGTCGCGTCATTCGTGCAATCCGTTTCCCTGTCGCAGCGTCATGTGCTGTCGCGGGAGTCCTGATGTCCACAGCATGTTTCAGTAGCTTTGAGCCCCCCAAGAATCAAATCAACCCTCAGAAGTGGAGCTTTTGGTCCAAACTTCTGCAGTTAGGGACCAAAGTCAGAATGTTGCAATGCTTTTTGGAGATCCTTTTGGTCGCTCTGAGGATGTGCCAATGTGGGTCATCTTGCGCTTCCTAATGCCCCACTAAAGGTTGTATCGTCGACATCCAAAAAGGATGACAAATCCCTTCAACTCACCAGTGCCGGTCATAATATTTAGACCAATTGGTACATATTCCACGTAGTTTTCCGGTCATTCATGTCCCATCTTCTCCCGACCGCACGCTGATGGCACGACCCCGCGACCATACGACGTCGCGTCGGACGTCGGACCTCCATCCTGCCGCGAGGGTGCGAGCGTAGCGTCTCTTCAGCTTGAGCGAACAACGGCTTTGGGCAGGTGGGGCGAAAAAAACCTGCAGAATTCCTGGCAAAACGCCTGGATCCAAAGTCAGGCATCATAGTGTTAGGCATAGCATATAAATAGGTAAGTCCGGAAACGGACCGGGACACTTGCGGAGTTGTTGAGACATGTTGAGACGCAGATCTACCAAGGACCTCTGGCGCTACGTAAGCAAGGTACACCCTGGGCCCGCGTGAAATGGACCATCGCATGAAAAGTCGCAAGGCCAGCTTCCTTTGCCACCATGTTCCTTGTGTGCATGTCATTGATCCCACTTCACTCCAATTCCTCAGCAGAATGTTCCAAAGAACCCGCTTTTCGTGCGACACACCGAGTTCTTCAGCACACGACCCCACCGAGGAACCCAGTTGAGGAGAACCATCGGCACCAACCGCGCGCCCGGAGGGACCAACCCCGCCTCCTGAATGGCGTTTTGCCCACTCCGCATCGCCTTCTCGGTGTCCTTGATGGCCTCCAACACCCGAACGCTGGGCCGATCGCCGATGGCCGCCAACGCGATGGTCAGTTGCTGCAAATGGAGTGGACATCGAAGATTTCAGCACCTCTTCTTCAGACCAAACGGGGCTTGTTGGTGCAACACATATCTTCCCACAAAATCTCCCAAATGCCGTAGCCATTCCAAAAAATCTTCGGAGTGGTTTAAACTTCCAAGTGACAGTGAAACAATGGGATCTATATAATGGGCACCCCTATCCTACCCTATCCTAGCAGGAAGTGCTGGTAAACAGTAAACATGTCTTTCATGAAACCTTTAGTTCACCCCTTCAGCCAAACCGCTCCCCTTCGTTTGTCCGGCCAGTTCACGGCGCGCCCAGCAGAGTCAGTGTCGACTGAGCTTTCCATGCTTTTCTCTTCAAAGTAAGGTAGGTCAGTGAAACAGTTGATTTCCTTCAGCTTCGGAAGGAGGACATGAAAATTGCCAGTTTTTCTTAGGCAAATGGTGCCCTGGTAGTCGAGGTCGCCCCTGATTCAGTTCAGCTGTCTTCTCAACCAACATACTATTTGGAAAACTAAACGCGGTGGATCTTAGTTGCGTGACTCCCTCAATAATCTCTATAGGAACCAGGCAATTTGGAATAGTTTGGAGGGCTTTGCAGATCAGGAGCTTTTGAACTCTTCGGAACCAGGGCAATGACCTGCACAGTGACTGGACCAACAAAAAACCTTAGTCGTGTGTGTTTCCACATGGGCGTTTCCTGGACTTGCAGGGCCCACAGAAGGCGTTTTCGGTGCAAAAAGTTACACGGGTCGGTCCGGCACCGGTCGCCACGGTGCTGGACACGGGTCTCGACGCCACGAGTCGTCGTCGAATTCGTCCAGAGGCCCAGATCGGAGCTCGAGCCGCTTTCTCCCGAGCGAGGTCTCAAGCGATGTCTGTGTCTACGGCTGAAGTTCTGCCGAAGGATCGGGGAAATCAATCCATGCAAGTCATGGATCTGTGGGTCGATCATGGTCGACCTCTGCTCCCCGTGGTGCTGGACCTCTGCTCTGTGGAAGCGACCTCTGGATGAAGAGCAACTGTTGGAGGGTTAAGGAAATACCTTGACGAGCTTGGTTTCAACTAACAATTTCAATGATTGAGACCTCACTGTTTGATGTGTGGGCTCAGGTCTTGTGAAACCACCAAGTAGATAGAGTATGATAGAATACGATAGAATGTGATCTGATAAAACTCCTTTCAAAATGTGTGGCTGAGCTATTTGGGAACCTCAGCTTGTTTCACTTTAAAATCTTAATTAACCATTCTGCGACTCTATTACCCCACTGGCCCGCCTTCCTTATCCCTCCTTTCCCCTTCGGGCTGCTTGGGTGGACCAAAACACATGCCTAAGATCCTCAGGCTTTGCCACAGTCGCGACACCAAGCGCGATCCACAGGCCGTTGGCCCAAGGCGCCTTTGCCCCGAACCTGGCGACGTCGGCGCGAGGAATGGGGAGATTGAGCGGGTCTGATGGCGCCAAACGCCCAAAAAAAGGGCACGACTGGCCGACAACCGGCGCCGGCACCCACTCATTCCGCCGGCTGCGGCCTGACGCCAGCTGCGGCGGCTAAAGGAGCTCTTGGTGAGGAGCCGCTGGCACCTGCGACCACGCGGGGAGAAGGGTGCGTGTTCCGCCGCCGCGGTGAAAACGTTCAGAGGAAAAGCGATGGTGGGGGTTCGGCCAATTTGGGGGAGGCAGTGGGGACGGCCGGAGTTGGTGGCATTCAAGGCGTCAAAGCCCAGGCGTCCGTCTTTGTGGGTCTAATGATAGTGTTCCAGGACCGTTTGTTTGTGGATGACCGGGATGACCCACGTGATCAGCCTCAGCTATCAAACATCAAACAATCGATTCCTGAAATCGGAGGCTCTGAGCGGGGCGTTGGCATCGGATCGGGCCGCGCCACTCGTACTAAGCTACACTCAACTGTTCACACTCCGCCACCGCCTCGCACACTCCGCCACCGCCGGCGCGGACAGCGTCAGCGACGCCGCGCACGCCGCGGGGGCTGCGGCGTCGTCGGAGTCGGAGTTCAAGTCCTGGTGTCTGAACTTGAAAAAAGGCTCAACTAAGAGTGATTTCGGGCTTATCGTGTTCAGAGAAAAACTATACAACTTTCTCAGGTACTTATTGGATCCTATTGGGATCCATCTCTGCCAAGGCACCGCCCAACGAGGCCGTTCTCTTCGACACGCTTCAGGCACCAGTACAGCGACGCTGGGCGCTGGTGGGGTCTGGCGGAGGGGCGGGAGGTGTCAGTTGGGTTCCGAAAGGAGAGTGAAGCTCACAGCTTCTGGCTGGACAGGTGTCTTTAAACATCTTTTTATATAAACGAACAGCATTGAGATTGAGACTAAAGTTGACTAAAGCAGATACTAAATGTCCCGCTATACTAGTTGATGAAAGAAAACGGTATACCCTTTTCCCCATCCAGGATATCATCCAAACTTAATGAAGATAGGCAGAATCCAACTCCAACCTTGGTAAACCAACTCTAGCTGAAAGATCTCCAGTCCCTTGACAGTGGTCTTCGTTTGAGGGTAGATGGCTCAAACGAGTCTCATGAAGAACCCTTGCAGTGACCAAACATGACAAATGGAGTCCGAAAGTGCTCGAAATTGATCTCAACATCGCCAATGGAGCAAACCACCTGGGTCCCACCCTCTTCAACCACCAGTGTGCTCCCTCGAATACCAATGGAGGGTTCAGAACTTGGATTTGCTGAGCAGGCACCAGAAGGAACATGTTTGACATTTGGGTGTGTAAAATAGGAGACCTCCCAGTTCGACCCCCCTGGAAGAAGCAAAATAGACAAGTCTACCCCTTGGTTGGTTGTCTCCGAATTAAACCAGCACCTCCCAATGTGTCTCTTTTGATGCCAAACAAAGCTGCCTGGAGGGGATAAATCTCTCCAATCTCTAACGCTGCGTCCTCAGTGAGTGCGTCAGGGCGCACTGGAAAAGGAGGCGTTGGCGTCGTGGGCGTCCGGGTGTGTCAGGGCCCACAGGGATTCTGCACGGTGCGTTGGTCCACTAGAAGAGCAGCTTCCTTGGACCGTGACACGCCTTCTCATGACCTACGTGGTTTGCTTCACGAGTGGAAGGGGAGTTAGCCTTCCGAGCCCAAATCTCCTGTGCAAAAGCCACATTGCACGAGTTGAAGTTGTTGTGTCCCTTCCTTTTCAATCAACTCAAAGAAGCCCTGTGTGACTTGGCCCAGACATTGCAGACCTCCAACAAAGGTTTATTATATTATATGATGAACCTGTGAAGACCCCCCAAGAAAACATCACACCAGACCCTGGGCCCTCATTTTGTAAAAGCCCAGCTGCCAGCCACAGGTCAATCTCGCAAGCCTTAAGGCCGCCCGCCGAGCGCGCCAGTTCGCCCGCCAAGCGTGAGGATGCCAATGAAAGGACTGCGATGACCAGGTATAGTAGGTTGAGAGTAGATGGCACAATCCCCAAGTTTAGGTGGTTTATATAGACCCTCATCTAAAGGACAGCTTGGGGTGCAAGTGCGATCTACTCTTGAAACCTAAATCACTACATAAATCACTACATAAATCAATGTTCCGTCTGTTCTGCCGGCCCAGGTCAGGTGAGCGGTGTTCAAAATGGTGTTGTCTTTTCTTGCCGAGAAATCAAACCTTACGGTAGGCCTTACGCAAGGCTTACGTTTTTCTATGTTTTGCTTACGTGGCGCATGTATGCATGGCTATTCTTTTGTTGTGCTTACGGCGGAGGTATGCAAGTCCACTGTGGTCACATTTGGTATGTTGTTGCAAAACAGGAAAGCACACAGAATCAAAGTAAACAAACTTCGCTTCCGGTAGCCTTACGGCATCGTTCAAACCTGCACATCCTTACGGCAAACCTTACGGACACCTTACAAACATCAGCTAGTCACTGTTTTCACTTATTTTTCGCCGGTCCCTGACTAAAAAAGAAAGGATGAACTTAGAACGCTGCTCGGGTGTAGAATCCACTGGACCCAAATACCACCTGAAGTGTACACAGCTAACACACCATGGATACACATCGAGAAACACGGACAAAAACCATTGAAGACACCTGAATCACCTGAAGTGTCCTGAATCCACAGGAATTATACAGGAGATCATACAGCAGTCATTTCACACCATGTGATCCCTTCCACCGATGGGATCCAATTGATTCCCTGCACTTCCGCTGATGGGATCCAATTGGCTCCCGAAGTCTGGGGTTGTCGAGGTTTGGCCGAGCCGTGGCCGAAGGCCAGGGGGGATCTCAGGGAGGCACACCCGGGATGATTGGAACCTGAACATAAGATGATTTTTCCCCTACAACCCAGTGGTTGGCAGCTTCCCTGTGGATCTTCTAGGGTGTATGTCACTACAGTAATGAAAACCACTAGTGGGATCAGGCAGCACTAGTTGAAGAACTGCCACACTCTGTGTAGAACTTTTGGACCTTGCAAGTTGTACAATAAAGCAATCTATGCTGGCCAGAACATCATGTCAGTCGCCCCCAACAAAGCTGGACCACCAGGATCATCTCAAGTCAAATGCGACCAACAGCTGGTGTCTCAGAGGGGGCGAATGATCTCCTGCCCTTCCTCTCTCAGTCCTCACGAGCATCCTCAACTGTCCAACTAACAGCTTCAACATCTTAAGGCTTTGGTGTCTGAAGGCAAACAGGAGTTTCATCCACATATTTCACCTTTCTACATCTTCTACTGGTCACCCCGGCAGCCCGTGAGAAACCAGCCATCTTAATCCAACCTCCAATACCCGCCAGCCCTGAGTGTGCGGAACACAAGATCGAAAGGGAGGGATTCACCGATCAATGTCGTGAGTTGTGAGCGTGAACGAATTCTTACATATCATATTGTTATATAACGCTATACATAATATATATATAATATGTATACTGTATACCACATACCACAGTGTCATAAGTTGTCTACCATAGCCATAATCTGATTGCATCTACATAAACATTAAGTACCCCGTACCCCGCGCCCCATGCAAGCAAAAACATCTACCTTTTGTTGGTTGTTCGCAGTGGTTGCTGCAACCCATGAGAGCAGAACTTTTGAATCCTCGCTTCACTGCTTCAAGAGGCAGAACTTCGATCACTGCCTCCCTTCGGTTCCACCACTTCCGCGCCGGCACAGCCTGCACCAGCACTCGGTGCTCGGTGCTCAGGCGCCTCAGAGGTTGAGTTGGGGGATCCCTGGACTGCCGCAGGTTTGAGCTCTGGACTACCCCTAGACGGCATGATCGCTGAATTGTGGGATCCATCATTTGCCCCACTGCAAGGCAGGTCTTAAGGCTTTTTGTTGGGACGCTTTTTCAGCCACTTCCGTCAAGCGGCTGGATCAATGGGAGGAGCCGAACTTGGCCAAGTAGCCAAAGCCCGATCAATCCTGGAGAAGCGGCGGCAACAGAGCCATAGCATGGACTTTCTCTAGCACTACAAGCAAATATCAAGCCTCACCCGGACCTTCCTTTGATGGGTTACCCTCCAGAAAAACCTAGGGAAGCCAACCCCTGGCATGCATGGTCGAGGTGGAACATCCATGAACATCTACATACCGTACATACCCTCTGGGAAGAAAAAACTAACGACGTGCGTTCTCCACCCAACAACCTGAGGAGATGTGTTGGATCCATAAAGGAACAAGGACAACCAACCCAATAACCGAAGCAAATCCAAGCAGAACCAAGCGTCACTCCTCTCATCAAAGCGACCCTAATATACGCTTCTACAACCAAGATCAACAGCCTCTGGAAAACCCGAACGCTGCTAGAACCCCCCCAGGTCCTGCTAACGATGAACAGAACCCAACAAAACAGAAAGTTATTAGATAAACCCCTTACGCTACGTGGGTAGCGCATCCCGCTTTCCGTGCTGCAGTGCTGCAAAAAACTTCTTGGAAGCCATCGCAGTGAGTGCACCTGGGACCATCCAGTTTCCCCACCATTTCCATCTCCACTGACAAAGTGCAGTTTGCAGGGTGTTCATTGGAACGGTCAGAGTACAAGAAAACCAGAGCAAGATAAACAGAACCCAGCTCGGCTAGGCTCCCAGTCTGGGATCAGGCTTTTGACCCAAGCTGTTGGGCTCGGGTTTTGGACCGAAGCAACATGTAGCACCTGGATTCGGTGCGAGCATCTGGGAAAGATGGTTTGTTAAAAAAAAGGAAAAAACGATGGCCCACACATCAAAAAATATCCGCCACATCATTGATTAAAATAAAAAAACCTTTGGATTGACGGTTCTGTTCCCTTTTTCACCGGTCTCCTGGCCACGAAGCCTTCAAGCTCTTCCACCGACGGCAGCCGCGCATCGCCTATATCCGCGTCTACCGTGACGAGAGACGCGCAGGCGTGGAGGGTGGCTGGATCCAGTTTGGAATCTCCATTGTGGGCTTTTCGTTGCTTCCCGAACATTCCCTACGGCCCCGGCACCAGTCAGTATGGAGACTCTTGATGAATCAAGCATAATAACCCCCTGATATTATGCGGGGTTCATGATGTTGATGAATCAAGAGTCTACATTAAGAGAGACTTATCGGTGATGCATGATAAAGACTTGATTAAGAGGCCGCCTTGCACAAGAGCCGTTGCTGGGAACACTCCATCTCGACCATCTCGAGAGCTTGGCACACACCTGGCCCTGCCCTGGCGGACCTGTGGGGCACACAGAATCCATGGCACACGTCGACGGATGCCATGGCATTTGCCGACCGATGTGGGCCCTTCGAAGACCTGGAAGCTCCAACTTCCGCAGCCTCAGCCGCCCATCGCCCCCGCCTGCCACTTCGGCTTCCATCAAGGCTTGGATCTCCTCAATGGAGGCCATCAGTGCCGTGTACTCCTAGCGAACGGCTTCCATCAAGCGGACGCACCCGGTCGGTGGGGCAGGACCGAGGTGGCACGGCGCCTGACACATCCGAGGTGTTTCATGGTGTGACGTTTGGGCTGAAGGCCAATAGGATTGGGGAAGGTGGGGAGGGACGGCAGTTTTAGACCCATTTTACGCAACTTTTGAGAGGTGTCTCAGAACTTAGAACTATATTGCATATGCATGCATATGCGATGTTGAATCATACTGATGCAAGTAAATCAACTATAGGATGTCTCATCACCGCCCGAACAACGGAAAAGTACCAGTACTCCTTTTACAATTCTGTGAGTGTCCAAGTTGTTTGCTTGTATGAGGGCTGATCTCTAAAGTCACTGTGATCAACCGCCCTTGCCGTCGCCTTCTTCCGTTTTTGCCGGGCTTCTCTTTCAGCATCCTTACCAACCACCCGGAAGGCACAGCCGTCCAAGCGACCCCCGAATCGCGGCCTGGTCCAACTGTTCCTTCAATTCCACAGCGAGCTTCTGCAACTCCTCGCGAAGCAGCGAGATTCGTACTGGACCGATGTGTGTGTTTGTTCGCTTCCGAACTTCTTCCCTAGGGCTCCTGGCCCATATCCTCAGGTTCGTGGTTAGACCCCCCTGGCACCCACCCCAACCATCTTCTATCATCTTCTCACGAGGTGGTTGGAGCTGCAGGATCTGTAGGGGTCAGCTGGATGCGTTGGAACAAAAGCGTGCACACCGATGTTGACCGGTCTGACCGGGGCCGTCTCACAGCAGTCACAGGATGAAAGCTGAAACCACCACGTTTTATGTGAGAAAGAAACCACCAAAGCCTTCCAAAGACTTCCAAAGCCTTCCAAAGCCACCCGATCCAAAACACCATTTGGACGTCCAACACGTTCATGTTCAAAGCAACGCGTTCATGCGCCGGCCATGCCGGTTGTGGACTGAAAGTCTGCCCAGTGGCCGTGCTGTGGCGGCGTTGCCGGGCGCCGGGTGGCCAATCATCCAAGAGACGAATCTCCGAGACCTCCGAGGAAACGGAGTTTTCCGAACCGAAGCCACGAAAAGTCATGCAGAATGCAGAGTAGAGTGGGTTTTGGGAGACTTGCAAAAGACTCCATGTAAATTCTGTATAATCATGTATACCTATATAGATACCTATAGAGCCCAGTACATGACCTTTGTTTTTGGAGAGGAAAAGACCGCATATTTGGGGTGGCTAGTGGTTCAACTTGAGGTCACTCAGGCTCAACAGGTATGGCATGAAATACCCCTTTTCAACCACCAGCACAACGCTCCAGGTCGGCCAATCCGATGGTCACCACGACCTGGCCGACCTGGCCGACCTGGCCGTGTGAGATCCACCATGAAACAAGCCCAGTGGATCTAGTTAGAGCTGGTAACCAGTTGTTCCACAGACTCAAACCATCGGACCCATCGGACCCTGGATCATGGTTCCTGTGTATCAGTGGTCACTGAGATCTCGTGGGAAGCATCAGAATCGGTTCATGCACTACAAACATCCGTGGCGAACTCCGGTCGAGCTGCTAACTCGGCTGTGGCCAAGCTCAAGGTCTCATCCACCCGAGCGCTGGTGCTGGGCGCTCGTGTCGAGGAGGCACACGTGAAGCTCTCCTGGCGGCCCGCGAACGCGAACGGAGCGCTCGTGGTTCCAGGCCCTGAGGGCGGCCCAGGATCTCAATGACCTTCGAGTTCGCATCGAGGTTCGCATTCGGCCAGTGGGACTGGCATATATACTGATCAGGCCAGGGGTGGTGCCAGGGGGGTCAATGGGGCGGCGTATATGGCAGTCCCATGGAGTGTCTGGGCAAGTGGAACTCGTTCTGATAGGAAAAGGCCAGGTGCGGGGCTTGGCACTCTTTTCTGACGGGTCACTCTTGGGCAATCTTTTCACTCAAAATTCCTAATTCACATCATTAGATCTTCCAAGCACTTCAGCAGTCTCCACCCCTCAACAGGTTTGACTTCAGCACGGTCACCATCTGGGCTGCTTAGCCTGGCAGTTACCTGTTTTTCGCGCCTCCATCGGGTCCCACGCGTGGTTTCCACCACGCGCGGGGCCTGATTCCTCCCACCTGCCTCATCCTCCACGAGGCTTTTCGAAGGCGGAGATCCGCAGGATCCCAGGCACTGCCTGGGACGGCGCTCCGCCTTCCCCGTCTGGACGGCGCGTGCATAGACTCAGTCAGACCCGTCCCACCCGTCGCGGTCAACGAAGACCCGTCGCTCAGCAGGGGCGATCTTCTGAACCATTTCCAGTACACCACCCGCCACCCGCTGCCGGCTTCTTGCAAGACCTGTCGAGTTTCTGATCTTGCAAACCTGCTGGCGTGAAAAAAGCGATAGGATCGTAACTGCCAAGTGCCATCCGGCGGGTTCTTCGGGCTGAAAACAACATCTGTAGACAGACAGGGTTGCAACATGTTGGGTAAACGGGGGGGGTTAGCCCCGGACGCAACGCACCGAGGGTCAAAAAACCTTGTTTTTTACAGGGTAAAGTGGCTTTCCGGACACTCAACTTATCGTCTTGCAACTCATGAGTTGCAAGACGATAAGTTGAATGCATTTTGACGGACGTATTCACCGACCCACCTGCTCCTTGTCCATGGCGCGAAAGGGATTTTCCACCTGGTAGGCATTAGTCTTGGTCCCAGTGGAGCCATTTCAGCTCAGTATACATGGCAGCTGGCGGACAAGTGTCTTGCACAGCTTCTCTATGTATCCTGACAGCCTCGAGCATTGCGTCCAACCCAGGATGTTGGCTGAACCACAATGCTGCGAGGCCTTCAACGTGCTGGCGTTGCAGCTTCGCGTCGCAACGGCCAAGCAAACCCATTCTACGCAGTGATTTTTTCATCACTGCTGCCAAGCTTTCTGTACCTTGGTCTCCACCAACGACCGTAACTTTGCTCTGTTTCTCGAGCAGCATGGGTCCCAGACAAGCGGGTCGTCCAGCGAACGAATCGTGACCGGGTGGACCAATGAAGTACGTAGACGATGTACGCGAGTCGTAACCAGGATGAAACTGACCCCACCCCCCACCCCCCCCCAAAACCCAAAAAACACACGACCCTTTTCGGGGGGGGTGTCTCCCCCCCGTTGACCCAACATGTTGCCTATATCATACATGCATGTTTTTTGCAGATCCTCCCCCCAAAAAGGACAACCCCAAAAGGCTACCATTCTACTACCCTAATAGATACTTCTAGGTGTTTTCAATGCATGAACCACTCATGGTTCTAGTGGACGTCCCCGGTCGGTTTGCCGCTACGTGGCTTGGTCGGTCCACTGGGTCCGCCGGAATCGGAAGCAAACAGATCTTTCTTTCAACGAGCACGGTAAAGGCTTCCAAACATACATGGCTTAAATTAGAAAAAAAACATTTGCCCTGGACCAGTTGGGCTAATCACTCATCGATACTCAGAATTAATCTTCATTTCAGATTCTCAGGCAATGGCAGGCAATACTAAACCAAGCAAGCCCAAGATGCACATAAAAGGGACTTTGGGCGTCGAAAACCCGATCTCTCACCACGCAATTGCAACAATTCGTTTCCTGTTCCCTTCTACCAGGGCCGTGGGTTGGTCGAGTTTAACCCTGCGCGAATGCCCATCACGCCCAACACCCAAACAAAGTCTAGGCGATTGCAGGTAGAAATGAATCTGAAGGCTTATGGTAAACCACTAGTAAGTTCCTCGTCCACCAGATGGTCATGTCCCTATTCAGCCATGGCTCACATAGGACAGGATGTTGGCAGGCACTTCGCAGATGGTTTCAGCTTTCACACCATGCCGTTGCGCTTCCAATTTCCTGGGTGGGAGGACGCAGACCCACGGCCGCAAGCGGGCACAAACCCACGGCTGTTGACTTGAATGCAAGTATACTCCCTGCCGTGAAGGCGCGGAGTTCGGCGTATATTTGATGGCGTAGATCAATTGTCTTGATGTCTTGTGCCATCATTTCGGTATCCGGTATGCTTGCCATCAAATCATGCAAGTGGACAGCTCTTGGAAGACTACTCTCCCTTTATTCATGTTTAATTCCGACCAGCATGTCACCAATTGTCACCATATTAATTGGTTCTAGCTATCTGTAGAACCAGCGTCTTTGGATTTCACACTAATTACGAGGATTGCGCTTCAAAGATCATCTAATGGCAAGCTCAACTATTTAGAATATTTGGATCGATATCAGTTTCCAAGAGTTGCTCTGCCGCGCTTGCACGCTTCTACCCCTTAGCACCTTGAAGTGGAGTCGTCTGACTGTGAACAAAACCCCTGAGAAACCAGGATGCTCCAACATCAAGCATCTGCAGAGTTGTTGCGAACTTCATGTTCTTTTTAACATGGAAAGACAGGATCCCCTATAGGATTAAGTACATTCAACCCTAGTAGGTCATAGTGGGGAAGAAAACATCTATACTAAATTCATTCAGTGCATAGGATCATGTAGGATTAACTCATGTATATTTAGTTAAGTACAGTGATTAACCCTTCCCTCTCAACCGGATTCCCACTCCACCCAAGCGACAGCCGCTCCCAGCGCCGCTGCGCCTCCTCGGCCGCCTGCCGCCGCTCGGGCGCGCGGCCGAACTGCCCCGCGTGCAGATCGCCCAGGATCTCCTGCAGAATCGGAAGATCATCGAGTAGGGAGTAGAACCGCCAACCCAAAGACCTAGGGAGACCTCCCAGTTCGACCTAGGGAGACCTCCCAGTGAAAGACCCCCTGGAAGAAGCAAAATGAGACCAGTCTACCCGGGTGTACACACCCAAATGAGCTAGCAGAGCAGACTGTACAACCGCCAACCATGATCTGGAGGGAGGCCATGATCGTGGGTAGCAAGGCAACTGCTGTTGGGAAGGCATTATATAAGTTCTTCCAAGGACTTTGTCCGAACAATCCAGTTGCCCCAGCCACAACTGACACCCAGTGGTTCACGCAACATCACCCGGGATCTTCATGATTCTTCATGTGCTTGCACTTCCGTGCACTTCTGTAGCGATCCAAGCGGTGGCCATCGCTGCTCCTGGAAGCAGTTGAGCTCTCGAAGAGCATCCTGGAAGCAGCGACGGCGACAGGATGGAGTGGGCCCCGAGCAATCCTTACCTGTCCTTTAACGTCGGGATTATATAGACCCCAAACTAACGCATCGAAGTTCTGGTGAGAAGAGGGAAGCATGGGGAAGTTTGAGCTTGCATGGCAAACCCCCAGCTCGTGGGTTGACCAAGAAAAGTGGAAAGTTGAACTGCTTCTTGTCGGATGGTTAGAGACAAAGGGTGTAAGTTCCTTAAGCAAAAGTTTGGACGACCGTCTGACAAGGTTGCACTTGTGGAGAAATCATATAATGGTAAACTCACATCACCTTTGGCCCCTTGTCTGACAAACCGCTAGTGCTTTCCGGAAGGGAGAGTGACTCGGAATGAGCTTGTGATCTGTCTGGATTTTTTGGGGTAATCATCCACATCAACCACGGGTTCTCAACTGGTTGCACCTGCGAAACATATCAATCGAAACAACATGAAGCGCAATACCTATTGAGGGAATCTCAAAAAAAAGATAGAGAGAGGAAAAAAGAGAGAGAGAGAGAGGGAAAGAGAAAGCGAGAGCGAGAGAGAGTGAGAGAGAAATCTCAAAGCAAGTTCTTCAGTTCAAAAAACCGCTCAACGCCCATTCCCCACCAGTTCCACGCCCAAACCTCACCCAGCTGGGCGCCTTGTTGCGATGGATCCGCTCGGCACCCACCAGTCGCTTCACCTGCCGTGCGAAGCAGAGACGGCCCCAAGCTGATGACCCACCGTGGAGGGTTATAACAGGGTTCAACTAGACTCTGGGAAGGTGAGATCCAAAGGATCTAGAAGATTGATGAAGTGAATGAAGTAGTCTTCCCTGAACTTAAGTGGACAAATAGGATCAAATAGGGCCCAACACCAGAGCATGGAGGATGTTGGAAGTAGTCAATGAAGTTTGCCTGATAAATCCTGAGAATGAGAGCCCAGGTTCGCGCCAAGTTGGGTGGTTTCAAAGGATTTTGACGGCACAGAGGGCCCCGAAGTTGGGTTTGGACCCCCATCTGTTCAAGACCTCGGTCTGTGCCATCGAACCTCTAAAACCTCTGTAGGCTTCAAGTGTCCTGCTGATTTCGTAGGCATTTGGAGACTCTGTCTTCCAAATCATCCACTGCCGAACCTTGCATCATCGACCGTGGCTACCAGCTATCACTCACCAGTTGGAAGAGATTTGCACCTTATGCATAATTAAAAAGTTGGGATCTTCGATTATGATTTTTGTCCTGTGAAGGAGAGCTCGTCTTCCAACAGAGTTGTAGTGATGGTTCACAACACAAGCCTGTTCTTTCAGCAAATAGCTACAGGAACTCATCCACGATAAGTTGCATCCTTTCCATTGCACGCTTCTTTTTGATTGCTCCATATCCTATCTACACCGACGATGTAAATTAAGTTGATGTCTCAACATGTCTCACGCGTCCAGACCATGGTACAAAGTGAACGGCAGGTATCCTGGAGCCATGACCCAAAGCCAAACCAGCCTTTTTCCTCATCAATTTGCAATCGCATATGAGTTGAACGCCCACCACCCACCAGTCATCAGCCACCTCTACTTTCGTGGCCACATCACTTTCTTTTTCCCATATCATCCAAATAAGTACCATGACCATCCAACAAACTGTCCAAAAAAGTGTAATTCAGAAAAGAGAAACATAAGATACAAACCAATCAACTACATTAATGCACTCATTAATGCTTGTGCAACTCTCTGGATCTTCATATCCAATGCCTCGCAAACCCTTCGAAAGTCTGGCGGCTCGCCGAACCGACCTCCAGTCCCAACGCCGCCCACCAACCGCCTTGCGAGAAGTCCGGGCACCGCGCCTGTGCCGCCTCGGACAGGTAGAGCTGCGCTTTGGCCGCCCGCCACACCGAGCCCCGCTCGCCATCGAAGCCCGCCATCCCGTCGCGGCGCCCGACGGCCGCAGCGGTGTCCCGGTGTCGCGCGCGTGGCCGGGAAAGGGCTGGAAATGGGGTGTGTTTCTGAAGCTTCACAAGCAAACGAGCAGATTTGAGCAGCTGAGCGAAATGGAAAAGAGGATGCTATAGAGCTTCATTAAGAACTTCCAACACCCAAAGCAGAAGCTTAATCTGGAGTATGGAGGCCCTGTCAGCCTTTCTGCCCTCAGCGGCTCCACTGGCCAGTCCTATCTAATTGAGCCTGGCCAGAGACGGAGCGGTTTCACGTGCGGAGTTCGATGGGGTCGATGGACGGGCGACCGACGAACCGTCCGCCGTGACGGCTCTGAAGGAGCAGGTGTGGATCCTGATTGGCTGTGAAAGGACCCTCATGTGCTGGGGTTTTGAGCCTCACAAACAGGATTTGGGGACCTCAAAGATGTAGGAGTTTGAGGGTCCATGAACTTTTGTGGGTGCAACATTTTGGGGATTCTGAGGCCTCGTGAAGGAGTAGCGAACAAAGAAGCTCTTGCTCAGCACCACCTCTCTGGTCCGAGACACCTTCAGTGGCCACCTCTTCAGTGGCCGACAACTTCAGTGGCCACTCGACATCTGGTAGACTTGGATTCCTGGATTGTCGGATGTTTAGCAACTCCGACACACCAACATCAGATGTTGAAAGCCGGAAAACAAGTTGAATTATATAGAGGTATAGTCTTTCCAGGCTCCATGGTCCTCCATTTCCATGTCAGTCAGTCGGAGTGTTGCACGGTAGAGCATTCTATTCCTCATTCCATAGACCTTCTGGTCAGACTTCGCCAGCGTGGGAAATTCTGTCGTTGATCCCTGTGTAAATTACAACTGGATCAAGTTGGATCAAGGAAGTGTCAGTCGCTGCCTTCTAAGATCATCGATCCATCCCAACAAGCTGTCATGTCTTTTCTTTGCAATCTCAGCATAGCGGGGGATTGGTCCAAACCTGGAGCCCGACCAGTCCACCATGTCGCTGGACTACCGCCGGTAGGTCAACCGCTCGGTATCCTGGTGCCAAGACCACCTCAACATATCAAAATTCCTCTTCCAAACACCAGTCCCACTCTTCCAAACCCACTCTCCACCAACCAAAGGGGAAAAACCGAGGGATCTTCACCTCTTCCACTTTGCGGGGGTCCATCAACTCCCGCGTCCAACCCTGCCTGCAGCATCACGGGCCGAAGCTCCTCTCCACTCTCCACCTGCAGCGGCGCCGCTGCGATGGTCACCTGCGGCGGTCCACCGAGCTGGTCGTTGTTCCACCGGTGCGGTGATGAAGACTCCGGTGAAGAAAGAGTGTTACAAGCAAACCCGGGAAGCGTTTGAGGATGTGTTAACCGTTTGAGGGACATATTCAATATTCTGGGAATATCAATCAAACTATTATTTATACATGTATATATATATATATATCAAACTCTTGGAATACTGAATACTTCTGGACAAAACGTACAGAAACAAGGGGTAGCAGCTAGCAGGAAGCCCTCCCAAAATCGCTCACTGCTGCAAGTCGCAAGGACCAGATTCTCAGATTCCTCGTTGTGTTCCAACCCTGTCCATGAACATATCAACCAGCCTTCCTCAAAAATGGATGCCAGTCAGCCAGTCGCCCAGATTTATACTGTATTAAAAGCAACCATGTGTGTCGAAAACAACAAAAACTGATTCCCAAATAGATAGTGGCACGCTTTCCGATATATTCTGAACGTGGGGATTCGGGATCTACTCTTCTATCTATTTGGGGACCACTACAGATGTCACATTAACTGACCCCTATAGTCAAAGATGTCTTCGGTACTGGTGGCACCTTCTCTACCTCGTCCTCCGCTTGGTCGATCTTCTCGAGGACCGATGGCATCATCTCCTGTGGGAAGCAAAGCTTCACGCCCACGCCGCACTCACTTCTGCCAGCCCTCCCGCCAGCCCAGCATGAAAACACGCTGCATGAGGTCACACCGAAGAAACTACAAGAACAGCATCACGGCGACAGTTCACCGGATAATTCAGCACAAGTTCTGATTACCACGACTGCATCCGATGTTCTCCATTCTTCGCCAGATTCTGTGACCAAGCATTCCCCATTCTGGGGAGTCACCCGGAGATCCTAAGCAAAACCAGGTAGACCTTAGCCCCCGGTCTACCAGGCCGTATTTCGCACTCAACGATGTCGTGACATCGCGCTTCGCCTCCAGCTGCTGCAAGTGCTCGTGTTCCTCAGCGTTCGCTCGCCGAACAATGGCCCTGCTTTGTGATGCGTTATGGTTCATCAATCTAGTCGAAGCCACTTATATACCTTCCCTCCAACAATCATGGAAATGGAAAAATGCCCTGCGGCCCTGCGAAAGACATATTTTTCCTCTGCAAGCAGTTGGTTGTCCACTTCCATGTTGGTTGCAGAGAGGCTAATCTCGCAGTTTGCGTGCTCTACAAGGTCTGTATAATGTTGTATAATAAAGGTCCATCGATTGGCATCACACCATGTTTTACCATACACCAACGTATACAGCATATCTATATTACCTACTGTCTTACCTGTTGACTCCAAGGCTGTAAATACCCTAGAAAATACCATCACACAACAGCTCCATGGTCTTCGCAGCAACTAGGGAAGCTTCATCCTTCGGTAAACACAGCATTTCGTCTGCCGACGACGTGGATTGCACATTGTGTGTATATATGTTTTACAAAATTGTACATATATACACATATATGATCATATATGTATGTATGCAAACGGCTTTTCTCTGAGTCAAACTGGTTTCTCACATCCCTTCGGTCCCTTCCTACCAACTGCCCACACAAACACCCTCTCTGGCCGCGGCACCATCGGGGTGTAGGCGGGTGTTGGCACGGTCTCAGCCTGGAGATATTCAGATGGGAGAAGGTCCGAACAACATGTCTCTCAGCCTGCCAGATGTCCATAGATTTCAGGGCATTCACGGTCTCAAAATGGGGGAACTGTGAAGGCATGCGGCTTGTTTTGCCAAACATATAAGACAAAAAAATACAAAAAGAGCTAGTTTCGGCCAGTTAACTGCTTTCATGATGCTCGGGAAACCCGCCTTCACCGGACTGGGAAGGCCCAGAAGAGCCTGCTTGACCTCGGCCTGGCGCGAGAGTGCTCGAGAACTGCTCGAGAAGGCGCACGAGAGCGCGTGATGATGACTGAGACGAGAACGACCGTGAGACGAGAGCTACCCTCTCTTGAGGTGGTTGAAGGCTACCCTCCCTGCAACACAGCTTACCAGCTCGGTTCACATCAAGTAGCAACTTACAAACTCCCTCAGAAAGGCTTGTCGTTGATGTGGACCCACCCCCCTTTGGTCTTCGTTCGTGGCGTCGTCGTCCTTTCGGGGTTCGCTGGTCGTCCTTTCGGGGCCATGCCCTCCGTCCCACACGGACGGCCCGGACCAAATCCGGTCGTTGCATCCCCTAAAAGGTAGCAAAGGGATGTTTTACCCTGTCCAAAGACCCAGAAAAAACTGGTCCTTGACCTCTTTGAGTCGTCTTCTTGTATGATCAACTTCAGTCAAATCAGATCCAACTGACCTGTAGGATCCTGTAGGGTTCAACAGGGTTCGGATGTTTTCACCAAGGCCTGCCTGCAATGCCCGGAGCTTGCGGATGAGGCTCTCCAGCCCCTGTCTCACCATCATTGGCGCAGTCTGGCACGCGGCACACGGAGGACACCCCAATGGCTCCATCGGCTGCCGTACAGCAGAGGTCAAGTGACCTTATCGGACCCTACTCACTGGGGTACCTATATGAAAGAGTCTATAGGGTCCTTCAACCTCTATTGGAGGGTAGGAACTGAGTCTCCAGCCACTCCAAAACTCTTGAAACCGTTGGATAGGGACTCTTCAGCCCGAAGAATCCCAAGATTCAAGGAGGATTCTTCCCTTAGACCACCTGGGAGGGGAGCTTCTACAGAACTCCCTGGTCTTTTTGGCGACCCCCCCGGAACAGTTGTTTGGTCGAACCATGACCTGGAGTTTCCTTCAGCCTGGCTCCCGCCTGTTTGGGGAAATTGCTTCAGCGGCCCAAACCCGCGGAAATGGCGGGGTCTTGCAAACCGCTGATACACATCTACCAGCATCCTCCAACAGGTCTCCTATAGAGGGTTGTGAGGCCCTAACAGGTCTCAAGCCAACTGGTTGCGATTGGCTACACGCCCAAGAAGCGGCTCGGGTCGAAAGTATTTGTGATGCTTGTCAACATCTAAGTATTATGTTTCTACCAACCTCTCTGGAGTGTCACCATCGACTTTCCAAAGCAGAAGACACCTGGAGGCTGCTGGTCCACGTTTCTGGCAACAGCCACATGGTCTGAACAAACAAGGATAAACTAGAGACTCGCCCGAAGTTAATGGTGTATAGATATGTTTAGATAGGAAGACTCGGACTATAAATTCCATATAATGAGGATTCATGCTTCAGCCCATGGCTTACAGTAAGGGGGCTTTCTCCTTTTGAGAAAAAGACACTTCATTCCGCATCCCAAACTGCCAGGAATAGAGATCATGAGTATTCTGATTTCCTCAAACATCGCGGACTGCATCGGGCGCTCCCAGCCCGTCACGACCTCGGTTCGGCGCCCGTCCACGTGTATGGCGGCCATGTGGCGGCGCCCGTCCACGTGTGGGAACGCCTTCGCAGCCAAGTTCTCGGCGGACACGAACTTTTGCACCTCCGTCAGCTTCTGCCTCAGGGCATGGGAAACCGGGTGTTCCGGCTCAGGTGTTCCCGCACAGGCGGGTCCGGATGAAGAAATGTGTCCGCCCCTGCGATGCCAGAGCTTCCAGACATGCCAGCCACTGTTCGTGGTCCACTTCATCCAACAACAGACTCATCCCTCAAGTCTGTGTGGCGTTGCTTCAAGGACGTGCTAAAATTCAAAATAGAGTCGTTTCTTCCGGGCGTTAAACAAGAGCAGCTTCCAGTCGTGACCTGTAGGTCATCTATCCTCCAAGGTATTGAAGGATTGTCCCGGGCGCTGAGGATTAATTTGGTATTCCACCTGTCTGAGATGGACACCTAACACGTATCGAAAACTGTAGATAGACATGCCGCACAAAAAGTGGTCTTATATGGTCTTATCAAGAGAGAGAGAGAGAGAGAAAGAAAGAAAGAAAGAAAGAAGGAAGGAAGGAAAGAAAGAAAGAAGGAAGGAAGGAAAGAAAGAAAGAAAGAGAGAAAGAAAGAGAGAGAGAGAGAGAGAAAGAGAGAAGGGCGGCCATCAGCATCGCCTCATATCGCCTCTATGTGATCCAGCGGAAAATGGCTGAACTGACCCAAAGCTCCCAGCTGATGCACCAAGAGCTGCTTTCGCGCCTGGCGGTTTTGTGACAAACATGAAAGCTTTCTAGCAACTCTGCTGGGAGCCCTATACTAGTACTTTGGGACGTTGGAAAACTCATGCAATTGTCAGTCTTCATGCAAATGGCCAGAATTTTATGCCCACAACCTGATATACTTTCTCTTCGAGATTCACTTCCTTGTAAACAGCGCCCTCGGCGAGATTCACTTCCTCGTAAGTTCTGGGAGTGTAGTTTTACAGAGGATTGAGAGTAGATGACAAAATCCAAGCATGGTTTATATGGACCCCCGGACCCCCATCCAAAAGACATCTTGGGGGTCCGTGCCATCTACTCTGAAACCACTGTAATGCCTCAGGGAAAGGCTTCCAGCGGCACAACACCCGGCACAGCCAAACCCTTCCATCTCTTTCGCGCCTGCATCACCGCCTGGCCATCGGTGGGCAACAGCTCACCCAGCGCGGCCAAGGCCTGACCGCGCAATTCCCGGCGCGCGGACGATCTGACAGGTCTAGTCATGACGTCGCCCAGGGGCTCCATGACGGACGTGGTGAAAAAGCAGCCGGAGGTCTGACTTGAAAGATGTGAACACCGAAACAATCCAAAAAACATCTAGCTTTTGACTTCTGTAGGGTCACAATCAAAAAAGTTCTGTCAAAGAAACGGTGCGTCCTAAACGAGAAGGTCCTCTTCCGTCTTCGTCCTCTTCGTGTCTACGACACGAGACACGTCGGTCCCCCCGAACGGTAGCGACCCGTCCGATCCCCGACCCCGTCCGACCCCCCAGACCCCGACCCCAACACGGTGGTTGCAGGGGGTTTGTTCACCCAGACCAAAGGACACAAGGGATACAAGAGGTATAAGATGTGGTTGCAGTGGTTGGACCGCAAATCGATGTCAGAGAAGAAAAAACAATAGAAAAAAGGTCCAGGAGCTGGTTTGAAAAACCAGTTTAAGGTCTCCACAGCCACCTGAGGTTTGGCTTGGGGATCTGGCTGGATCCTCATCTGCCTCATCTCCTTTGGGTCGCAGGGTTCACCCACAACCCTTCATTCAAAAAGAGCAACACAATACAACATTCATAACATTTGTCTCAACTGTAGACTCATGGCAAAATATATCTCAAAAGCGTTCGAAAACCGTGCAGAAGAAACTGGTCCGCTGCCCAGGTCCCGCAGCCTTCTTCAAGTGCTCTTCCACATTGCTGACCCTGGCTGTAGCCTGCCCATCCGAAGGCATGGTCTGGATGCTCAGCTTCAAAACACCTATTTTGTACGGGTAAATACAAGCTGAACGAGTACAACAACCTACTCCGCTACAAGAGGCTAGGAAGAAAAGGGGCCGAAGGTCGGAACATTTCTGCGACTGTTGGGGAACTTCGATAAAACATTTGTTTGGACCTTGGAACTGCTGAAAAAGCCTTGTGACTTAGTAAAGACGTGACGTGACTGTTCTGCTTCCAAAAACCGCTTCGCTCTCCCATACCCATACCCAAGAACCAGTCGAACGCAACTCTCTGCCTGTTCAAAGCTTTCGCTTGAAGTTCCAACGCTTTCGGGATGGAAAAAACTCACCTCCTTTATAGAGGATATTCGGCAGGGGATATATATGGATATATGAACTATATATATGTGATTAGCATGTTGATCCTTCGCCTCCTTGCCTCCCCAGCGATGAACTTTGGGCGTCACATCCAATCGATCCCCCCTAAACCAGCAAGGAATATGTTCTCCAGGTTCACCTTCATCTTTTGAAACGGAAGGGGTTGGGGAATGGCATCCACAGTGTTGGGCCCCCAGCACCTCCACCCCACCTGACCTGTGCCACTCGGCGCTTGTACCGGGCATCCAAAGCTGCAGCTCTTGCTTTTGCATCCTCCATCTCATCGTCGACCTCCACCACCTGGCGGTCGACGTGGGTGGCCACCGCGGTCGGTGGTGTCCCACCACCGTTGCGATGCGATCGAGAACCGCCACCGGATTGTTCGAACCAAGCCGAACACGGGCGGTGAACCGGACATGTCACCGAACGCGAGTGTTGAACGCTGGACTTCAATGTCACCGAGACTGCATGTAATTGCATGTGGATGGGTGAGATGGTCAGAGATGGCGTATATCCTTGAAATGAGTGTTGGCATTGGCATGATATGGCATGAGTTACATACGTGGGGGCATCCCTTGGAAAGGGGATGTAGGGGGGTTGGTTATGCGTAGGGTGTTCAACTTAAACACCAATTGATGTCTAGCATCTACCCCAACTAAAATGGTCAACATGAACCACGGGCGACCAGCTTACCTATCATTTGGAACTTCGATCCCTGCTCATCGAAATCTCACCCTGCAGCAGGTCCTGTCTACAACAGGCTGACCCGATGACCAAGGACCGATCAGGGTTTTTAAGGACCCTACCATGACCTGACTCCCAGAGTGTTCTAGCCAGCCACCACTGAAACCGGGACCCTCTTCTACATCTCACCATGATGTCAACCTTTGTTGGTCCGAACTTGCGTGAGGTGTTGATGAATAAACCCCCCTACCAGAATGGTTGTACATCTCCAGTGGGTTCTTGTACTAGAATCAACCATCAGCACCTCCCCCCCCGGCTGGGAGGCCTCCGGCTCCACTTTGGTGCTTTCCCACTTCGCTTGCGGTGCAGGCCGGACAGAGCTCTGCACTGACGCTTTGGGTTGCGGAGGGGGCACCTGCGGGTCGACTCCGCTTGGAGTCGACTCTGCGTGGCAGGTCAAGCCCACTCCATAATGATCTATATAGAAGGTACTTCTGCGGCACCGGTACCAACAGATTCAAGAACCCTAAGACTATAGACCGATATTTCACAGGTACCCCAGGTTACGGGTCCTATGACTTGGTAGCTGGTAGCTCTTCCACAGGGAGAGGGACTCAAGTTGAATGTGCCACTACATGCAATACAGTGCAACTTCCCCATGCGATCTGCGTTCACAACATATTTGTTTGTCCTCGCCTTGGTCACCCCCGTTGGCTCCACCTTGGGATTCACCAGCACATTGAGCTCAGATCGAACCTCGCTCGGAGCCAGAGCATACGTCGTACGAGCATACGCTGGATCTCAAGAGGATCCACTCTTGGACTGGTGGGAACTTCAAGTCAAAAAATCAACGCGGGCGATGAAATCTCCTGTTTCCAGACTCGCTCCTTGGACTTGCCAGACTTCACTGGGTCTGCGACCCCCCCAAAGCTGCTACAAAAAGACACGCACACGCAAACGCCAGACACGACACGAATCACGCGTGGTCAAGGCCACGCTTCGCGTCACGGTCCATCTGAGCACCCCGGGCTGGCCCATCGAAAGGCACCTGCCAGCCTTCCTGGGGCGGCTTCATTGCATCGCTCTTCTGAAACGACCAGACCTGCGCTGCGCCGGTTCGTGTCTGGTGCGAGGATGTTTGGCAAATTGGAAGGTCTATGGACTCTGAGAGTTCATTGGAAAATAGAAGTGAACCTGTTGAAACCTCTGCGTTCAGTTTTTGGGAAAACCCATGTTTCACAGAAAGGGTTTTAAGGGAAAACGCATGGTTTGGCCACTGCCTGGGTTGACATATGGACCACATGCCCTCAACGGTTTCTCCATCAGAACAAAACATCGCCGCAAAGAGCTTTGTTTCAGGTGACTTTAGGAACTTGGTCACGTGGAAATATGGAAAAGGTAAAGCTCATTGACTCATGGGACTCTTTAGGAGCCACTCAATATCTTTGCCGTACTCTACCAAATACATGACCAATCCCAACAATTGAGACTGAAGGACAAACCCTGGCACGAAAAGGGACAGACTAGCTCAAAATGTCTTCAACTCATACACGTATTTGCACTAAGAAGTTGCATGTGTGGAGCGCAAATGTGTTTTTGCATCTTAACATGATCATAAGCTGCGATCGAAACTTGAATGAAGTTTGGTTCTAAGAGTAGCTGGCTTTCGACATTGGTCAAGGCTCATGGGAGCAAGGTCGCTGGCACCATTGGGAACCAATATCACGAAATGCTTGAATAGGAGCACTGCTACGAGCTGTATTTGGGTCGAATGGCTGACCCCAAACTAACCATAGAATTTAGATAATTTCAGGATGTTCCTCCCAAAAAAAAAACACCATGTTGCCCTGTCACCAGGTCCATCTCCTGTCTCCACCCGCCTGAAGGCCGCCGACCTGGTCTCCAAACCACCATCCTTTCCACCTGGCGAAGCGGGACGTTTCTCGCATCGCGAAAAGCTGTCAAGGAATCCCCGAGTTGACCCACTGTTTGACCTTGAGGCAAATTTGAGGACTCGAACGGGTCATCTGTCAGAAGATGGACCCGCCTTGCTTAGTTCATTTTGCCCAAGCAAGTTCGCTCAAGAATAGAGTGTCCACACGGTGGTTTTTGCCCAATGGACCAATATGGCCAATTCCATCCACAGGTTGTCACACAGGAAGCCAGCCGCTAGAGACTCACAACTATTCTAAAAAATGGTTTTGTGGGGGGGGGGGTTGGGGTTGTGATCGAAAATAGATTTGATAAAG